AGCTACCCACCGGCTGCCGACAGTTACCCACCACCCACCGACACCTACCCACCCGCCGACAGTTACCCGCCGTCGAAGAGCTACCTGCCTGCTAAGAGCTATCTCTCGCCTGACAACTACACGCCACCCGCTGCCTGGTACCCGCCGGCCTACGGAGAGAGCCCGCACGCTGGTGAGGGGCACGAAGGAAGTCGTCTCTCGGGTGCATGGGCTCATTCCCATCCCTCACCGGTGGGGACCCTGGGGCTGTCCCTAACCAATGGGAGGTGGAGGACTCTCTCTCCCTCCAAGCATGTAGCCCACTGTCCATGCTGGTCATGCAGCCCTGGATCATCTGTCCCCCAGGCCCTTCCCCACTACAGTGGGCCCACTGAGGTAGCGTGGGGTGGGGTGTCTTACCAGCTGTATGTATAACTGGCTCTTTTTTTATTTGAAGGTGGAAATGGCAATTTCTCCCAGAAATGGCAAGGCGAGCAAGCGCCTGCATTCAGTAAACATTTTCCAGAAGAAAATAACAAGCCAAAGGTATGGAGTGGGGTTCTTATTACAGGAAAGACATGGACTTGTTGGACTAGGTCCAGAGGAGGTCCACGAAGATGATCAGAGGGCTGGAGCACCTCTCCTATGAGGACAGGCTGAGAGAGCTAGGGTGGTTCAGTCGGGAGAAGAGGCGGCTTTGGGGAGACCTTAGAGCAGCCTTCCAGTGCCTAAAGGGGCCGACAACAAAGCTGGGGAGGGACTTTTTACAAGGGCTTGTAGTGATAGGACAAGGGGCAATGGCTTTAAACTGGAAGAGGGAAGATTTAGATGAGATATTAGGAAGAAATTCTTCACAGTGAGGGTGGTGAGACACTGGAAGAGGTTGCCTGAAGAAGCTGTGGGTGCCCCCTCCCTGGAAGTGTTGAAAGCCAGGCCGGATGGGGCTTTGAATAAGCTGGTCTAGTGGAAGGTGTCTCTTCCCATGGGAGGGGGGTTGGAACGAGATGATCTTTAAGGTCTCGTCCAACCCAAACCATTGTGTCATTCTGCGATGGTGGCAATCGTGTGGGACTTGCCACAAGGTACTACAGAGACCTCATAGTCTTGTATAATGTGCCTGACTTTAAGAGAGCAAACGTATGACAATCAGTCTGCAAATCTTGAACGTGTTGAAAGAAAGATACATTTCAACTGAATTCTAACACAGGTTTACTTTAGAAAAGCCCTTACCGTGGTGATGCCCAGGTGCCTAAATTACATTAGCACTGTGTTATATTATCAGGCCCAGCCGCCAGCCAGTTCACCCTGATGTGCATAGTGGGAGAAGGAAGGATCTGTGCTGCCCTCTGGGCTCTTACCTGAGAACAGGCATGGTCTGACTTGATAGGGAAGAGACTTAGGCTGTAGCGTAGCTCTCCTCCCAGCCTTCGATAAATCTGTGCCCGCCTGGTGTTTGCAGAAGTGATAATTAGTGGAAAGGTGATAGTGGACAGAGCTAAGTTCAGGGCGCTTTATTTGGAAGATGAGTGGTTTGAACTTCACTTTCATGTTACGTTAGTTTATCTTTGATACTTTGTTACATGTTTTCATTGATGGCTTTATTAACAAAAATGCTCATGGAAGTGTTTCACACCTAATTAAAAGTAGGAATACTTTGTAATCTTGTAACTGAAATCTTGAGATGATTTCTTCTTTTTTTGCAGACCAAAAAGAAAAAAGAGCCGGTTTTCTCTCATTATTGTGATACCTGTGACCGTGGCTATAAAAACCAGGAGAAGTATGATGAACATATTTCACAACATAAACAGGTTGATGAGTTTGGCTTGTTTTATTTATACTTTATTTACAACTTTGTGCCTGATAAGTAGTTATCTGTAGTCAGTCTTTGAATGGAAGACTTAGCAAAGAGATTCCAGAGCTGCAAAAAATGTTAGTAGGGGATTTTTTCTGAATGCTGTATGTAGGTGAGGTCTCAGTTGTATTTTTGGTTTTATTGCTGAAGTCATTTTGATGTCTGTCTTGTGAAGTATTGCTAAGTGGTAGGAGTTAACATTCATTGACATCACTATAGCATGTAAAATTTTTGTGTGAGAAGACCTTTTGTGGAAAACGTATTTTAAAAATCCACTCCTTTATTGCAAAGAAGTATCAAAATTTGAAATTGGAACTCAATCACAAGTCTTGTAAATCTTTCTCTTAGGTTAACTTCATGTTATCTCCAACCAGCGGATACATTGGCTTCACTGGTTATTCTAAAATCAGATGAAATTTAAAAGTACATTATCCTTTCTTACTGTTTTTACAATCACGTTTGTTCTGAAACTGGGTAGCTTAAAAGTTATACATAACTAATTGTACAGGCATCTGGCACTGAGTTTGTTTGAAGTGTGCTTGAGTGCTTGTTTATAATTTGTTTGCGTAATTCTGTGTGTCTTAAGTTCTCCCCCTTATCTTGCAGTGCACAGAAGAAGGTTGCAGTTTCAGTGCTCATGAGAAGATAGTTCAGATACACTGGAAGAACGTAGGTATCCCCTGGGCCCAAAATATGAGTCTGTGCAATCATTACTGTAATCCCTTTTCTCATTCTTCAGAAGCTTGCTTTCGTTTTTCTGAAAGGAAAATGTATCACCTCTGAGTAGAATCTGTTGTAAGACAATATTGTGGATGAAAATATGTTGAATACTATGGGGTTTTTTAATGATTCATTTTGTAATCGTTGTGTGCAGTCTCACCACTTTTGGACATTAAAACAGTGTGGTACTACTACTACTGTAGTTGACAGAAGGATGCTTTTTTTTTTCCTTGTGTTTTTTTTTTCTTCCCCTTTTCAAGACTTATGAAATGCTTTTTCCTTAGGCACACGCACCTGGTGCTAAAAGAATAAAATTAGATAGTCCAGAAGAGATCGCTAGATGGAGAGAAGAAAGAAAAAAGTGAGTAAGACTTATGACCTATGAATTTGTTTTACTGTATTTTCCCTGGGTGATCGATCATTAGATGACAGCTGAAAGGCAGTAGCAGCACGTGCTTGCTGCTGCCGTTCCTTTGACTCTGCAAAACTCCTGTGGTAGTGGTCTGTGTCAGAATGCCTGAGCCAGGAGAGTGCAAGCTGCAGAGACTGTAATTGTTTGGATGATTGTAATAGAAGGCGAGATACCAACTGAGAAGGAAATAGCTTTCCCAGATGTTTGATTTGGTACGCCAGGATAGGTGAAGGACTCATTTCTTTGGTCTGATCACTGAGATGTTTTAGGTCAGAAATGCATGTGTGTTTGCTTGGCAGTTTTTTAATAGCTAAGAAATCTGGAACTATTGTACTGATTATAATTGTAATACATCCTGCTGTGTGCAAATTTCCATGGTTTAATTTGTCCCAGTAGACCCTAACAGGAGGTTTTCCTAATTTTTTAAGAACTTTCTGCATTGCTTGACACTTTTCTACTGAAAGAGAACAGAATCCACAAATGATGCTCTCTCACGTAGTCTAAGTCACATTGTACCTAGGGTGTGAGGTAAAGTTCCCATGTAAGCAGTATTTCTCATTATTTCTCATTCTTTGATGTGAGGTGGTATAACTTTTTTTCTGTTGACCAGCATTGAACTGTTTAAAAATTCACACTACACTTTGATAGACTATCCTACTGATTTTTTTTTTTTATCGGAGTTGAACAGATTAAAATCAACCCTTTTCCAGCAGGTGAAAGATGCTGTAGGCTTTCCTTGCTTCTGTTCCTGACTTAGAATTTAGTCTTGAAAGTGGTCAGTATACGAGTTTTGTTTCTGTTAGCAAAGGTCCTATATGCAGAGTGGGAAGTGATACAAGATCACTGGTGATGAGCTGGGGCAGTGTACTAGTCACCTATTTGGTTTTTTAAAATTAAAATAAACCCAGTTGTCTGATGCAGTCTTACTGATGAATCCAGCTTGCATTTATGTCAGAAAGCAATGTTAATTCATTCTTGCTTTGAACCTGACTTCCCTTACTAAATTTTTACACAGTGACTTCGTAAAAAAAAAAAAAATCTCCTTCCATACATTCCACTCATTTTTCTTTTAATTGCCTCTCATCACTTCTTGCTGTATCGGGAAGCAAAATTACTCCCCCTGTAAGTTCATCCTTGCAAGTTTTAACTTTCCTTTGGACATGGTTTCAGCTTTTTCTGCAAATTTCAGAAAGGCAAAGGGAAGTCTTATCACTATGTCAGCACATCACAGCAGTCAACTATTGCACCTGCTGTTCATTTTTTACAAATGAAGATAATCTTAGATTCCTCTTTTTTTTTTTTTAAACAACTCTCGTTGATACAGAAACAAAATTTGTTTTCTGTCGTGTTTAAAATGCCATAGTTAACCAGAGAAAAATTGCTTGTGATCTGTGCAAGTACACGTTTGGTGTTGGAACCAAAACTAATCTAAAGTTTCCTTTTACTCAAAAGATACTTGAGGGCTTGGTTTTTATTTGTTTTCAGTCTAAATATTGCTGTCTTTTTTTTTTTTTTTTGTCCCCAAGTGATACTTACCATGCCTTTATTACTTACCATATGAAGTGTTAGCACTTCATTTGGGGTTAGCAAACCCCCAAATGTCCTTAGATTTGTCTGTCTGGTGGCCTACACTTAATTTTCTAACAGAGCTCCAAGGAAAAACATCAATACTTGGGTGCAGAGTCTTTGCTACTCATTTTCAACTTTTCATACGCATTTCTGCTTTGGAAGGTGTTTGGGGGAGTTCCTGTCTAGTGGCTAATGCTAAGGCTTAAGTGTTGATGTTTAAGGTATGTATGTCAATATGTGTTCTACTGTATACTAGAACATGAGGGAAGTAGGTATTGAATGTACAATCATGTTTTAGATACTCTTTGCTTGGGGAGTGGGTGCTGTGAGTCAAAGCAACGTTTATCTACAGTTAATTATAAGGACAATACTCTGCCTGAGATTGTTTTTGCTGAGTTTCTAGAGAATCTCATGGTGGATACTGTTGGTTTTTCACAGATAAATATAATTTGGCTGTGGTACAACATTGTTGAAAACCTTTGTTCACTGCAGCACAGTAAAATCAATGGAAATAGTCTTGTAGTCAAGACCACCAACCAAAAAAGGGAATATGGGATTAGGACCTTCTAAGCCAAGGCCACTAGACGGAGTAGTGCTGTGGTTTGTTTGGTGCTTCAGTCCTCCTGTGGGCATCTTGTTTAGCTGTAATGGATGGGTGTAGAGTGACTACCTGGGTGGCTTTTGTTACTGTCTGTACAGCAAGGAAGCTGTAGTAACATCTTTTTTTTTTTTTTTTTCTCCTTTGTTTTAAATTAAAAAAGGGGGTTGGGGAGAGAAAAACCCAGCGGAAACTTTTGTGAAGCATTAATTGTGTCACCAGCAAAGCATTGGTTTAGTACAGAAAGTCTGTTGTTGACTCACAGCAAATATTGCATTGTACACAAAAAAAGGACACCAGAGGGAGTCTGAGCTACTAGGCAGTTTTGGTTTATGGTGACAGCAAAAAGCATTTTTCTTTCTAGAAGCTCCAGTCAGAACTAAGAATGAATCTTTTTAGGTCATTAGTAGTTTGTTTCTAATTAGGTTGCAGTGGCTTAATATGTGTGTTTCCATGCTGCATCCCTAACATTCCTGTCTTGCTTGTTCTTTCAGCTGTTATAAATAATTACTTACAGAGTTGAGATTTTTCTTCTTAATTAGCTGCTGTGTTGCTCAGTTGTGTATCCTGCTTAAAATCTCTTAGAAAGAGCCTGTGTTTAAAGTGCAGCCTTACTCATGTGGAGGGAAGAGAAGGGGGAGAGCTGGTAAGGAGCAAGTATCTCTGGATGAAGTATGCTGGATTGGAATGCTGTTTTCCTGTTTGATTCTGTACAATGCCCTGTTCATCGCTGCAGCCTTCATGTCTCTGCTTACCTAAAAGGTTCTAATGGTTTGTGGCCTGTTGAACCTGATAAGCCAGGCAATCAAATTAAGCGAACAGCAATAGAGGTGAAGTTCCACGGGATCTCAGTGTTTCCCTATGTTTTGCAGACAGATAGTTGAAAACTTTGGTGATTACAATTACTTTTCTTGTTTTGATTTGTCCCGTCCCTTCCAAGTGTTAAGAAATGTGCTGTTTTCAGCATATTTTTTCTTAAACGTGCACTTAAAGGGAAATATCTAGTGCATTTCCTTAATGTATCAGAATGAGGTATTGCTGTCTTCCCTTCTTCCCAAGTGAGATCTGGGTCCTGCTAGCCTGTCTGTTTCTAACCAGCTCTTCTAGAGCAAAGGTTATTAGCAAGAATGTGGCAAGGCTGTTCTGGTGTTAAAAGAAAATTGTTAAACTTACTTTTGCTTAGGTCCTAATATAACATTGGAGGATTTTCTTGATCTTGTGCGTTGCTTGTAAATTCTCCCCCTCCTTTCGCCCTTTCTATAATCTGTTGAGGGTTTTTTGTTCAGTTATGGGTTAACTGCTGTATTTCCTTGAAATACATCTCATAGGCTAAGCATGCACTTAATGAATGAAGGCCAGTACTGTCAACCACACCACTTTTAATTAATTTGTGGTTCTCTAGTTGAGTAATGGTAATCCTAGAGTAGCTTGGAATCCTCCTTGGTGTTGCATTCGTAGTAGTTAAATATGTAATAAGGAAAAGAATTTCTTAGCACCTGGTAAAAGTAGAGAAGATGAAGCAAAATAGAAGGAATGTGTTGGTAGATCAAGGTAAACATAGGTACAGTAAAGTTTACTCTGAACTCCAGGGATAGATTAGCTGCCTCAGCTAACATACGGTAAAATCACACTAGAGATGCAGTGCTTGATAAAATGCCTGGGAGTCTTAAACCAAGATTTTATCACATCTCTGTTGGGCCATCTTTGTTCCCTTTGCGCTATCCATGTCCCCTTTGCTGTTGGTTGTCTGTATGTAATCAAGACCAGCTCAAGAAATTATTGAGGCAATTTGACCACAGTGCTGTTCCTATAAAGATGATAAACTTGTATAGTGCTCGACTCAGAAATTCGTTGTGTAAACTGCTATAGAAACAAGTCTGGTTTCTGTTAGACATTGGTAAAGCTCTGTTTTTCCACTGCTTGCTAAGAGCTAGTTTACTCTGATGTTTATGTGAACAAGATAGAGTATGCTGGCCTATAAAACATGGCTCTGGCTAGTGCATTCATTTATTGGAAAAAAAAAATTATTTACCAAGGCACACGTGTAAGTATCACCATTCCCTGTCTCTGGAAGCTTAGGGTATCCTTCACCTGCATGTCTCTTTGTTGGTGTGTATGTATATATAAGAATAAACTCATCTTAGCCTGAAAACTGGTTTTCTGGTGTTATCCTGACAATTTATACTGAAAAACTTCCAGTTTGGATTATAGCAGGTGCAGTTTTCAACCATAGACACTTCTATGAAATGGGGCTGCCTTCTTGGGCAGTACTGGCTCCTTCATGAAATCTGCTGTGCCAGACCATCACATCCTGGTTTAACTCCCTCTTTTACAATAAGTTGCTTAGGTTTATAAAGCCTTTGTGGTGACTGATGAAACTATCTGCATTCAAGCTCTGACAAGTTGTTTGCAGGACCTAACTGCTGGGCTACTTCTACTTCAGTGGTGTTTGTAGGTAACATTTTAAGAACCTCATGTTGTTGGGGGAGGAGGAGGGCATGCCTTCTGAGAAAGATTTAAAGCCAACTCAACTCATTGGATTTTAACACATGGCCATCTATGTGGAGAGATTCAGTATAAGCTCTTCCTTCTGCATTGTCACACCTCTGTTCAGGAGCAGTCTTCCTAAATTTAGCCTGCCTGAGTAAGAATTCTCTGTATCAAAAAAAATTAAATTCCTCTCTTTTTGATTTTTTTTGACCTCTCTTGAGTACTTTGTGGCTGTCCTTAGTAAAGTTTGCAAAGTCTACCATAAAGCTGTGCCTCAAGACCATAATGTTTCCATTGTAGGCATCTGCCTCCACTCAGGGTCCAGCTGAATTTAGCTGCCTCCGTGGGTAGATCTAGCTGATGCTTGGAGTGCATGGACCCCTCTGTGCCAGGGCTGTGGTACCTGATGAGTTATGGAGTTGCACTGGGGCTGGTACATTGGGGCAGGTGGGTAACTTTTGGTCTATGCCTCTTTGATCCGCTTGCTCCTTGCAGGAACAACTGGGGTTGACTTGGCCAGGTCCCACCAGGATGCACTGGTGGGCTTAGCCCAGCATTGTCGTCAAACAGCAGAGCACCTGGGGAGGTGTGAACCCAGGGTACCTTGTACCAAGGCTGGTGACTTGCGGACTCGGAACCTCTAGAGCTTCCTGCCCGCCAAGTCATTGTCGTCAAACAGCAGAGCACCTGGGGAGGTGTGAACCCAGGGTACCTTGTACCAAGGCTGGTGACCTGCAGACTTGAACCTCTAGAGCTTCCTGCTCGCCAAGTCCTTAGATGGAAGAATAAACTAGCAGATGTTCATTTGCTCATTATGAATGAAGTGAAACACTGCACACGTGCTGACAAAATAGGTGCATTTTCTGCACAAGGTAAAGGCAGTGAGTAAAATGCTATTTAACATTTGAGAAGAGCTGGAGAAAGTAAACACAGCTGCTGCAGATGCCTTCAGATGTGCTTTTGCAGGCATACTTGCTTAGAACTTGAGCTTTCTTTAGCTGTTAGTTCCAGCCTGTGTCAACTGGAAGGGTGGTTTAGGAGAAATCTCTCTGTCTTGGCAATGAATCGAGCTGAAGGCATTCGTGGAGTCCATTATGGTGGCTTGGTGGAGGGAGTGGTAAATCATAGGAATGAAAGTGGGAGGCTGTCACATCTCAAATCATGTTGTGAGAGCGTGTCTGAATATGTCCTTAATCAGCATAACTACAGGGGCACTTTGAAGACTCCTTTGTTCCAGGATTAAGGGTCTTCCCTTACGTCTTTAAAAACAGAAAAAAAAAGTTTTAGGACAAGATTTGGGCTCTCTTTGAGTATAACTACTTGTTTTATAGTGCTCTCTCCTCCTGTGAGCCTTACTCATGTGAAGGAAAGCACCTTATCCTAAAACTGTGGATGGGTGCCAAGCATGGGGGTCTGTGTCAATGCGAAGCTCTTGAGATTAAATAATTCATTGCACGCTTGCTGTGTGCTGGGAGTGTAATAACATGGATGAACAAATGTAACTAAAAGGGAAGAGTGGAGATAAAGCATCACATCCTTGTGCTCGCTTGAGCTGTATGGCGGATTTCTGGGGGAAATCAAATGAAAATAGACATTGACAGCTTGTGTTCAAATCCTGTTAAAGGAGACAAGTTCTGTGGTGTGTTTAGGTGTGTCCCGTAGGAAATGCTGCTCATCTTTTTCCCTTGGTATGTGTTTAAAGCTGTCTTGCATCAATGTGACACTTAACATTCGTGTTGTAAAATGAGGAAGATGCATATGATAAGATTAAATATTTAAAGAAAGATACGTGTCGGTTTTGATAGCTATATATAGTGAGTAGCTGTTCTAAGTTTCTCATTACTCCATTTTAATAGACTTATCAAATATTTATACTTTGCGTTTCTATCCAGAAGCTGGTGGGGGAGCATGTGTGTTTCTCATTTACCACCTTTATCTCAAAGCACTGGGATTTAGCTAACTAATGTTTACAGAGCAACTAGCATAGCCATTTTTGGTCTTTGACAGTAATTTGCAGCAGGTTTTGCATGTTAGAACCAGTGTGGCGTTCATTTGTACAGAGAGATGGGGAGGGAGGTGGGGAATGGAACAGAGGGATGGTTTGGTAAATGGTTATAACAGTAGATTTGTTTTGATCTGCATGACTTAGCAATTTTTGTTGAAGCTGGAATTAAAAAGGGACAGTAATTTTGGTAAACTACAGGTCAGTGTGCAAGCACAATACTGAATGTTGCTTGAGAGGAAACTTGTGTGCTTTTCCCTAACTGTCGCATTAAAGGAATCTTGTCCACCCAGAAGCTGTTCTTATAACTATTTTTTTTTTTTTTGTATTACAAGAATTCAGCAGTTGGTTTGCTAAAAGCAAGTTGTACCTTTTAGGATCATTCAAATACTCCAATTGAAGCACCATAAAAATCAAACTGCAGGACTAAATTGTGCTGCCATGTGCAGGGGCAGGCAGAGGGTCCATAAATGTAACTGAACTGTTTTTCTGTAGCTTTTTTGATGGTTTGGTAAATCTAATCACGCTAATTTGGTAAATATGTTTGTTTTTTTTTTTTTGCATTTGAGTATGTAAGCTTAAATGCACTCAGGTTTCTTTTCCTCACTGCTGCCTTTTTAAGAAGGAAACGGTCTGTTAAACTTCCATGAAATGTTTTAAAAATATGTTATGTTTGCAGAGGATGCTGGTTTGGTAACGGGGGAATTGACAAAATGCAGTGAACCATTTAAGAGTCAGTGAATTATTTTTTTTCTTCTAGAAATTTTCCTACGTTGGCAAACATTGAAAGGAAGAAGGCGATGCAGATGCAGAAGGAAGAAAGGGGAGAAGTGCTGACTACCCAACAGTTTGGGTAAGTGTTTTGAAACAAGCTTGTTACTTTGCTCCTAATGATTTCAGAAGTACACTCTCTTACTGTGGTCTCCCAGCACTTACTGCTTCCACTGTACACGCGATCTAGCTGCCTTTTAAGAGAGGGCAGTCATTTGACAAACTGCAGATGTAACGTTCTTTTGTTTACAGTGCTTCATAGTCCACTTCAGTTAAATTAAATGATAGTTGTATTAGAAATCTGATGTTCTTGCTGAATTCTGCACTCTGGCTTGTTTGAGAAAACCACATTCTAGTGGTCATTCATTAGATCAGCATAACCTTGGTCTCTGAAAAAAATAATGGGGACGGAAATCGTGCAACGTAATGAATCCACATAGTCTAATCCTTTAATGCTGCAAAATGGCCAGGAGAGATTTTATGAGCGGATTTGGCTTCTTACTCTCTCCTTTCAGATGGTAAATCAATAACCAAGTGAAGAGAGGAGGTAGATTTAACTTTCTTTTCATAGCTTAAGTAGTTCTACTTCTTTCTTCTACCCTCCATCATCTTTATCTATCTGCTACCTTTGTTCTGAACCTAATACTTATTCCTCTTGGGTTTTGGCTGTTCGCTCCCTTATGTTGTGAATTACTTTCCAGTATGGTCTTTGTTCTTTTCTCTTCCCCTCATTGTCAGTGTTATGTGGAACCAGCTAACTTCATTAGCTCTACTTTACGGCCTGTGGGAAGACTTTTTAAAAAAATGTTATAACGATCCACGTTCCTAGAATATCACTTGTTTAAACTAGAACAACTGAACTGGAAGGCCGGAGCAGACTTAGTCCTAAGGGGGTCTTGCTAAATTTGCTGCTAATGGAAGTGAAGCTGGAGCTTGCCTAGTTTTTTGGTTTTGGTTTGGTTTGTAAGGGATGACACCAAACAAAATAAAACTTGTACCATTGTAAAGTGGTTGAACTAGTGCAGAATAGGGTTCATGTCAGGCTAGTATAATTTGTTAAATGGTGACAGTGCAAATTACCTTGATGCAGCATGTGCTTCAGAAGACCCAGCACTGACCCACCCCTTCCAAGCAGTTGCCTTTCATGACTTTAGCAGGAAAGGTTTATAAATGACTGAAGTAAAACTTCATTCAAAGGATATAAAGTTGCTGAAGTGCTTTGGACCCAAGGAACCAAACCTAGGCATTGAGTCTAAAGCCACAAACATGTAATATTATGTTTGGAGATTCTTACGAGTTTTGCTTGTCACAGTAACAAACTGGTGTCTACAGGTTTATTTGGTAACTCTTGTGACTGTGAGTTGGATGCATTATGTAGTCTTAAATGTCCATCAGCAATTCCATACTATTACAGTTATTAGTAACTTTATATCTGGAAAATTGTTTGGAAAAAAAGCCCTCGAAATTATAGGTTGTTTGCTTTCACTTAGTGACCTTTAACTCTGGTTGATTCTGGAAATCTCTTGTGTTTCCCCCTCCCTTCCCTGAGCTGCTGGTACTATAGACTTGATGAACTGTCCAAAAAGCTGCTGTTTCTGCTTTGTATATCAACAGTAAAGAATCTGGAATTGGTGCTTATCTGGCAAATTTACTGATGCATGAGGCAAAAATAGAATACAGCTTGTTCGCTGCAAGCTGTACTATTAAAGCAAATAGCCGAGTAAGATTTAGAAAGGATTAGGTACTTAACACTTCTATGGTGCTTTCCATTTGTGGTTCTCTGAAGTGCTTTACAACTGCTAATTCTCAGCATCCCTGCGTGTGAGATTAGAGATGTAGAAGGACCACTTTGGTAGTCTGTCTGGTGTCTTGCAACAGCTGAGTAATAGCGCATGGCTCTTTATCCCCTCTGGATGGGAATTGAAGGGTAGTATATCTTTCAAGAGGGGAAGGCAGATGCCAGGCTGGCGTTTGTTGGGATATGTTTGTGACCTTGGGGTTTCTTTCTGGGTGTTTGAGGCCCCAGGGAAATCGGAGTGTTGTTTTTAACCCTTCGTTAAGGACAACACCTCTAATTGAGCCTGTATTTGCTCAATGTCTTCTAGGTTATACAACATCCTGAATTTAGAGCCCAGTTGTACAAATTCAGAAATGCAGTTCTCTCTGTAGATGGGGTTGAATTATGGGAGCTAATATTAGCCTCCTTTTCTGGATGAGAGACTGATGCTACAGGAACACTGGTGGATGATGCTATCAGGGCTGAGCAATCAGTGTTAGACATTGTCATAAAATGACTGGAGAATGAAATGAAATATGTTTTGTTGCAATATAAAGCCATTTTGAATGCTATGGCAGGCCCTGTTCTCCTCTCAAGAAGGACTGAATTAGGCTGGAAAGGTGTGGAAGAGAGATTGTTGGTAATGGGAATGTTTCTGTATAAGCAGAGAAGTGAGTGGCTTGGAAGGGCTGTATGATGGAGGTCCAGAAAAATTACATAGGTGCAAGAGATGAATGGAATGCAGTTACACACTGTTCCTTGTAACTCAAGAAGAATGGGGGTAGCAAATGACCATTTTAGACATTAGAATGAAGACAAACCAAAATAAGTCATTTTTCACAAAATATTAATACCTTGCTGCAAGATTTCAAGGATGCCAGATATTCAGACAGCATCCGACAGCACGAAATGCAAAACCATCAGTGGCTTGGGAGCATCTCTAGTCAGAGAGGGTCTCTGAGTGGTACACCACAGAGAAGTAGGTGAGGAGAAAGGTGACTATTTGTCCTCCTTTTATGCTCTTTTTTCTTTCGTCACATGTTCCACTGGCTGCTTATCAGTGACAAAGTACCGGGTTAGAAATACACTGAGACTGAGTTAGAAATACTCTGAGACTCTGCTTGCAGATACATGACTCTAGACTCGGGGAGAAGTTACAGGAAGAAGCTCTTGCCCAACTATGGTATTATATGGTTGACTAGGGATAAGAGCACCTCTGCCATACTGTAGGAGAGAGTACTGAGCAGAACAAACTGTGGAGTTCATTTAGGATGATAGATCTTGTATGTCTTTTGTGGTTGTAATGTGCTGATGATTAGTTACAGTCTTGCTTTGCTAAATTAAGTTTCTGTTGCTTGAAAACAAGTATTTTCAGGAAGCCTAGGTGGTCCCTTCTATATTTGCTTTTCTGTCTAGGTCACGCCTCTTCTTGTATCTGTAGACTTTGACGGGAGTTTAAGTTCTCCAGTCCAGGTACTTTACTATAAACATGTTTTGTGTTTATAGAATAACCTGGAAGATTATGGAACCATGGAAGATAAGTAGAAACGGCATGCTGTGCTCTTCCCCTATTTTAGGACTTGTTATTTTGTTACAGGTTTTTAAAAATCCATTGTCCTGATAGAAGTTTCTTTTGTTCCTTTTCTACTGGAGTGAAAAAGATGAATGGCATGTTAGTTGGAGGCAGGAGTAGCCAGTCATTGCAACCGATGGTGTCAGATGACTGAATGGATTTAGTGTAGTAAGATCCTTCTCTGAGTTGTAACTGGAAAAAAGAGACTTCAGCAGTGGTAGTATGCTTATAGTGGATGCTTCTCTTTTAATTCCACGTTCCCCCTGTTTTGAATGACTTAATTGCTTAAGTGAAGGGAATATTTGGTGACTTCATAATGTGAAAACACTATGTCCTCACACCGTAGATAATTAAAGAACTTGCTTAACTCATGTACCCTTGGCCTTGTTAAAAAATACGTCATGAACTTCAAACTCTTCATTTAGGTTCCAGCTTTGTCACATTGCTTTGCCAATGAGATGAGCTGTGACTGCCTGTCTGGTCTGTCACCACATGTTAGCTGAGCTGGACTAAGTCCTGGCATCATGCTGTGTTACTGAACCTTAAACGTGGGCCTGAGCCGTTTGGTTATGTCAATTGATTTTATTCTCATAGCTTGTCACTTGTATGATCTTTGCATTTCTATTCTCCAGCAAAATGAAGGGGATGTGGAAACCTCCAGAAAATGAGGAGAGGCTTGGGCAGCAAGGAAGACAGAGGAGAAGACAAAGGCGCCCGTTCTGGAAGAAATTTAGGAAAAATGGTGGCGATTATAATGTACATAGAACTCAAAATGAAACCAGTGGACCAGAAAACAGTACGTGTGAAAAGGAACAGGAAAAACAGTGTGCTTTGACAGCTCAGCCATGTGTGAAGGACATGGATCCTCTTGGTCTTCTGGCAAACAGTGATGTTGGTAAGATGGAGGAACTTGGAGAACTTTTATTTTAGGTAGTACTTCTGAAGCAATTACTGACCTTTTGCGTAACTACCAAATTCTGGGGAGAGCTGGGGACTTCCAAAAACATGTAAACTCTGTCCTTGATTAAAAGAGGGCTAACTGTGCATGCTTAAAATGGGAAAACTCTCTCTTAGTAGAAGATTGATGCGTTGATGCAAGGCTTTACAGTATTCTTGCAGAACAATACTGGAGAGCCTGTTGTCATACTTATCTTCTCATTGTTACTAACAAAAAAGCCCAGGATTGCTGTATTGTGGCTCGAATAGTGCCAGGGCCAGCAGGGTTGTAAGCTTGAAGGTAGTCCAACATCCCTATGCCTAAAACTTGCACTTAGAACTTCCATTTAAATGGAAATTTCCATAGAGAGAGATCCTGATTGAGGACGCAGTCTTCTAAGAAAATTCCTGGTGTGATTATTGTGAAAGAGTGGGTCAGTGCTTTATCTAAAGGAAATGGGGTAAATCTTGCATTTCGAGGAGCTTCTGCCCTAGTACGCTTGGCCTGTTATCAAGGAAATCGTCTCAGTAGTCTAGAGGTCATTGAGATACGTGTGTGTGTCTGACTGAGTTCATGTCCACATGTGCTGGTTGGAGGAGCTAAAACTAGTAGACTTAGCTAAGATACCATTTGGAAAGAAGCTGAAATACAAAGTCATTGAAGAGGAAGAAAAATTCTGATTTGGAAAGGCTGGCACAAAAATGTTGAAAATACTACCAGCATTAAGCACTGCTACGTAAGTTTGCTTGCAAGCCAAGTTGATTGTATTATAAACACAAAGGGAAAATCTAGCAGACTACTTCTGTGTCTTTCTGATTTTTCTGTGAGAATTGGAAAGCATTAAATTTTATTCTGTATCATCAAAAAAATGCTTAATTTGAAGGGGAGAAGATCTTGGGAGACAAGATGTAGATGTGTCTTTGATTCAAAAAATAACCACACTGGATATTATTTATCTTACTTTGTGTGTTTTAAAATACGTTACTACCTTTAAACCAGTATTTAGCTTACAAACTGAAGAGAGTTGTTGGGCTTTTAATGGAGAACCTCAATTCTATCTTTGTTTTAACAAGTACTTTACCATAATAATCTTATTTTACCTGTAATCTCCTGATAAGGAATACCTTTTTGTCCAAAACACTTAGCTGGGAGAGACAGCAAAGGGAAAGTAGTTCAAGCCATAGGGAAGTGATGCTGTACTAACTTTAGGAAGGAAAGGAAAAGAAATAGCATCTGAGTTTTTTTAAGTTCAGATAGTGAAACTTTTGCTTGTTAGTCAGGGTTTTGGAAGTGCTGGCATGAAGTTTGTGTCCAGTATTACACGTTCTGATATAAATACTGTACAATAGTCTAAAGGACATGCACCAGCTTAGGTTGCTAAACTAACGTGTAAAATAAGAAAATCTTTTTATAAAGCCAGAAGAAGAATAAAGTACTTCAATAATCAAATTATGTTTTGATGACTATTAAATATCCCTTTGTGGTTTTGAAAATAACAGTATTTAAAATGTGAAAACAAATGGATTTCCTTGTATGAGTTAAGTGAATTACTTAAAATGTCAGCATTTTTCTTTCAATTCTGGTTTTTGCTGTATTATTACTCTTGATACTCTCCATATGTGTGTGTTCTCTGAAGTATGGCTGCATAGGTTTTTTTTGGTGAGCGTGTCTTGTTTCCACATGCTGGCAGCAATAGAAACTCTCCAGATATAACTATTTATAATGTAGTCAGCAGTGATGCAGTACTCTTAGAATATGGCATGTAAGCTGACTTATACTCCAGCTATTTTTAGCAACAAGGCTAGAATTCATCCCCTGGAAAGACGTCTGATGCTGAGTTTTTCCTCCAGAAAACATAGTCTTCAATTAGTGGGAGCAAGAACTCAGCATCCCTATGCAATTTGTTTATTCCACTAATCTCTGCGTGTTGGGAAACTTAAGTATGCTTAAATATAACTGTATTTCTCTGCAGCACCTGTATTTTACTTAATGCTAAAAAGTCTGATTGTACGAAAGTACAGCTAGTAACTTCTGTTATAATAGGTAGAAAAGGAATGTGGTACTTGCTTGTTACACATTATTAAAGCCAGTTGCAGTTTATCATACTATTGAGATATATAGCCATAACAAATAATAAAAACCACAATATAACTAAGTAGAATTTTTTTTAAAATCGTACAACTCAAATCCATGATTTTACTGTATAGGTACATTTTGTTGGAGTATTTAAACCTTTCTAACAGCAGCAGCCCTTTCTCCAGAGGGAATATATTTTTTGCATAAAGCATTCACTTAAGTTCTGTTTAGTGGATAATCCCTTCAAAGCTAAGAAATTGAATGCGAGATGAGAAAACAGAATTTTCCTCTTGATTTATGAGCAGAAACAAGGTAAGATAATGAGCCTGTCGAGTGTAAAACTTTGAGGGACCTACTGACCAGAAACAGTCAGTTGTATTCAGTAGTGCATAACGCTTCCTCCAAATGTGTTACTCTCAAAAAGAAAAGGTATTCCAGTAAATGTGTTTTCCTAACTTACTAAAGAGCAAGTTAAAAAGTAAGTCTTAAAATGTAAAGAAAATAAAAAGGCACCCAACCACAGTATGCACTCAACATTTTGGATGAGAGAGAAAAAAGCAGCAATGAATCAAAATAACTTTAAGTAAATGCTATTTTTATAATTGCTTAAGTATATGCAGGTGCTATGTATTCTCCATTAGAAAAATGCACTGTGTTTAGTGTGAGCTTCCAATGTAATTGCAAATTGGTATGATTACTAAATCAGTGAGAATCACTTTCTCAAAAAAAGCTCAAAGTAAAAAGAGGCAGGTAAGTAGTGGTATGGTAATGGCTTTAACTGAAAGAGGGAAGATTTAGATTAGATATTAGGAAGAAATTCTTCACAGTGAGGGTGGTGAGGCACTGACACAGGTTGCCCAGAGAAGCTGTGGGTGCCCCATCCCTGGAAGTGTTCGAGGCCAGGTTGGATGGGTCTTTGAGCAACCTGGTCTGGTGGAAGGTGTCCCTGCCCATGGCAGGGGGTTCAAATGAGATGGTCTTTAAGGTCCCTTCCAACCCAAACCATTCTATGATTCTGTAATTTATCTAAAAGTTGTTTTACCGAGTGGCATGAGCTCAAATGAATCAAATTGCCAATCGTTAATGATATATTAGAAGAGAATGGAGAAACATTTGTGATTTCAAAATAAAGATCTCAAGAGTGTTTATTTCAGTAAAATCTTCTGAAGAAGTGTGAGACAGCTTTCCTGTGGGACAGGCTTAGGCAGGGGATGGTAGAGGGCTCAACTCTTTGTCTTTGTGGAAATAAGATTGCAACCAGTCTTTTTCTAGAAGTCTCAGCAGGCTAGTTTCTCAGTGTTTCTAGTAGTCTTTTGTGTGTGTGTATATGAAATTTGTAGGCGAGTGTATTACTGAAAAATATTTCCTAGTTTTTCTGCTAACTCTAGCACTGTTCACCTGAGAGTCTTTCCAAGATTTTGGTGCATATAGATCCCTTGTCTCAAACTAAAGCCATCACAATTTTGCATGTTTACTTTTAGGAATCTTTTTCTGGTAGGGCTCTGTTTTCCAAGTATTCTCAATTTCAGCATTTTGGGTCCACTTGCCTCTTATCTTCCCAGTATTCTCTTTTGGGGTAGTTTGGGACTAATACTTCACTTACTCGTGCATGTCTGTAATGTTTTGCAGGGATTTAAGTATCAAATGGTCTGAAGTACTGCTGAAATCCGATCATCTAATTTGTAGCCTTGGTTCTCAATGTCCCATATGAACTTTTTTTACTCTCCAAAATTTCTTTGCTCTTCAGTTCTCACTTTGAACAAGCCTAATTCTCATCTCCCCCTAGCCCTGACTGCCTTTTGAATCCTTCTCCGCACCCCCTGCCTCTGCCAGGACTAAATCCAGCAAGACTTCAAACATATTATGAAATCTTCTCTCTCTCTCTTTACCTACACTTGATAATTAAGCCTATAATTATGTTTGATATGTGAAGAAATAACCAGAAAGCCCAAGCTTTTGTTCAGGAAACTTTTTGCTTCTGTAGCTTTGCTGGCAGGACTGTAAACCAGTGCTTGAGACAACTTTACCACTGAATGTCCGTAGAGGGTGGGCAAATGTGAGGTTTTTCTATCAGTCCATGGCATTGAGCAACATCAGGCTTGTATAATGGTGAGATGGGGATTTAGCAGCAAGGCTGACTGTTGGCATGCATGCAGGACTACTGGGAAAAATCCCTCTTGCCTTTTCTTTCCCTGCAGAATCCGACAAGGACGAAGCAGCAGCTGAAGACGGGAGGCTGGGGTTGACTGTTGTTCCCAAACAGGTCACCTCTGCCCTGAGTTCATTGTCGACCAACTACGGCAGCGCGTCCGACAGTGAGCCCGAAGGTGCGCAGAAGCACATCCTCTGCCCTTCTCCTCTCCCCTTCTACCCTATATCGCTGTGCTGGTGTGGACTGCAAGCAATGATAAATCTGATCACAAATTACCCTTCTTTGGGAAGGGTGAGGGGGCTTCACCTCTCCTGTATTTGGTCCTTTGCCATCTCCCATCCCATTGTCCAGCCCCTGTATATTTATAAATACAGCATTTATGACTACAGTAGCCCAGTGGTAGCTCTTTATGGCTGCGTCTCCAACTGCTGAAAGCTGCAGGTTATCAGTCAGAACCTATATAGTACTTACAATTTATTCAGAAAAAACTTTTAAGAGAAATCGAAGGTGTTGCAGGAGAAAATACAACATGTAAGCAAATACAACACGTTTAGCAAAGATGTTAAAGTAATGACAGTTCACTGGCTATATCTCCAAAACACTTGGCTATGGAAATGTCTTTTGATTTCTGGCCTGTCCACCAGTGTTTTAATTCAGACCTGTCTGGTACCTGTTGATTTTGAGGCTTATACAAGTAAAGAGAGAAGCTCGTTAAAGGTTATACACAGGAATGTTTTTGTGATCTGCGTACAGATCCTTTCCAATTTGCTTTCAGTGACAGTGCATGCTAGTACTGGTGTAAGCCATGCATAAAGACAGGCTGGGAGGAGTAAAAGGATATGCCATTATTCTACTCCTCTTGTTTCCCCATTCATCCCTCTTCCCAGTTTTGAGGACTAACTGGGGTTACTGGGTGAACCATTACATGTTCCCAGTATGGTGATAGCTCCTGGTCTTGGGGAAGCACCCAGACAGAACATAGCATTTGTGCAGTCAGCCGGTATATGGGGGTGGCCTTGTCCACTTGACCTGTGCCACGTCTAATGCCTACCCCCCTCAGCCCTACGGCATACTTTAGAAAGCCTCAAATAGCGTTTCCTGAAAGACTGGGTGGGTTTTTCCCCCCTCTTTGCTTGTGTTTTCTCAGCAGCATGTTCTGGGTTGAAGCAGGGGGCATAAAATATCTTTGGTTATGGTGTGTGTCATCGAATTTCCCAAGCCTTTTTTTCCCCTGTCTGGGGAAAAAAAAAGCAGCCTGTGTTCAGTCTCGCTTCAAATCATGTTTGAATAGTGCCAGGAAAAAACTGTTATGTTCACTCTGTGAACTAATTTCCATGTCCTTAAGGGCTTTTTCCATAGAAGGCTGCTGGGTGTTGCAGTTAAGACTTGAACTCTCTAGTACTTGGATTTTGTGCTTCCCTGAGTGTATGCATCAGTGGATGGTAGAAAACTGCTGCTGCTCCTTGTTTTTGCAGGTAGTTACTATGCCTTACTTGCCCTAGATGGCCTACCCAAAGTTACAGAGAGCATCTAGCAGGCAGGGAACTGAACTTGGGCATCCTCTGCCCTAACTGTATCATGATTTTTCTCAGCAGCCAAATTTGCAGCAAACTGTATTGTGAAGCAGAAACAATGTATTTTGAGTGGTAACAAGGCAGAGGTTTGAAAATCTCATTCAGCCCTTACTAATTTTATTTTTCTTGTTGTATTGCAGAATTCAAATATCTTGTTTTCCTTTCTGTGAATGTTTAGAGGTTATTCTTTGTATTTTAAAAGAAAACCCAAACCAAACAAAACCCTCCCTTCCTCCAGGTAAACCTTGTACATCTTCATATTAGGTTATGTGAGCAAGAATAGTACTAACGAACTGCCAGTGCATGGGCATATAAGCATGTTAAAGAGGCTTTTAAGTTTGAGATGAAAGTGTGTTCTTTTTCTTTAAGAAATCCCTGTCAAGGCTGCAACAAAAGCGGAGAAAAACCAGTCTGCACTCAGAAATATGCCTCAAACTACTAATGTTCCTTGGAGTCGAAACCCAAATCAAAAGCGTCCAGAATATGCAGGCACGACGTTAAGAAGCTCGAATTCAAATGCACGTCCCTCCAGAGGGCCTGATAACTGGGGCAAGAAAATATTACCTCTCCTTCCAAAGCGCCGTCCAACTCTGCTGGAAATGGTAAGTCTTAGTGCTAAAATAATGCCTCCTGTACAAGAGTAGCACTATTTGTGAATGGTCCTCTTCCCTGTGGGAAGTTAGAGCAGTGTGTTAGCAAAGGTCCTGTCTTAAAAATAGCAAAGCGAGCGTTTCACTCGGAGAAGGTGTAGATACTTAAAGAGACGAATAGAAATATGCTGGTGTGCATTCAGGTAATAACTGACTTTGGTAAGTGAGAGACGACAACTTAATCAAGTGCCTAAAATGAGCTGCACAAAGGCCAAAACCTTTAGGCCTCCCTCTTCCCTCCTTTAGTAGTATCCAGTAGGTTTTGTTTGTGTGTGATCATCACCTTATTCTGACCTTCCTCTTTTTGCTCCTGGCTTTGCTATTCAGCTGCCTTACTCTGATTGAGGAGCACACAATTTTTTCAGATGCAGCCAGAGAAATCTTGTTGATAAGGGTGTTGGTGACTTAAACTGTAGAGTGGTGTTGAGCTGCAGCCTGCACATGCATGGGTTTCTTCTCTGTAGGCATGTCTAGATCAATCTGAGGAAGTGACAGCACTGGTACCTTGAAGAGCAGGTTGTTGTCTCAGAAGGGTAAAAAGAGGTTTGTAGGAGTGAGTCCAAAGCGTTATGGTTCTGTTCTCAGTAACAGTGTGAAGCATCCTATTTGGAAGCTTGCTGACTTTCTTTAGTAGAAACAAAACTTTGAAGCTTTTATTGCATTTAGTACTCAAAAGCAGTATCAGATAGGTGGACTACCCTTGTGATTCTGTAAATAGCCAGCATAAAGCTGCCCCATCAAGCCAAAACTTGCTGTGGGCAGAACACAGGAGAAAACAGGGTGTCACTGATGTCCGGTCTCTGAAACAGCACAGGATGTTTAGGCAAGAGATACCTGATAAGGCACATCTCAAGCTGCAGATGTGGGAGAAATCCCTTGATAGTCCTTTTAGCACATAGTACCGTTGCTGCCAAGAATTAAAGCTCCTAGTGACTGAAAAGGAAGTGTTTGCCCTTTGTGTAGCTGCCTAAGCATGCAGTTGTCTTTATCTCTTGCTCTTCAAAGTTGTTAGTGATCAAAGCAGTGAGAACTTTGGAAAAAAAACTCAGATGAAATCCCACATGCTGAGAGAAGCTGGCAGAACATTGGAAGCCTGAATTGTAGCTTGCTAGTGTAGTCCATTTTTAAAATTGTGTTTTGATGGGGTATTTTGCCTTTCAACATTGCTCAAAGCTGTTGTTAAAGGATGTGTGCTGTGGCTGTGAATCAGAGGAGTGCCTGAGATTTGCAGGTAGGCTTCTGCTGTCAGAAGTGGTCAGTGTATAAAAACCTTGAGGAAGCAAGGTTGAAATTTTACTGTGAGTCACTGCTGAGAATTTATCCCAAAAGTGAGGAAGTAGAATTGCGAAGAAAAGGATGCTGTATCAGTGAAATGATGCTTTAAAAAAAATAAAAGTGGAGGTAGGAGAATAGCTGCAGATGTCTATTGGCAGTCCTTCGGCAGTGAACTTGGACATTACTAAAACATGTTTGTTACAGTCATGCAAACTGTAATGTGTATTAGCCATTCTGTATGCTGACAAAATAGAAAGTTTGTGTAGCATCACTCCACTGATACCCATCCTGCATTAAAAAATATAATACAAAGATGCAGTCTTTGGTAGAGTGATGGTGCATCCCATCTGTGGCTTTCTTTGGCCATTTGGGTATTCAGCAGTTTCTCCCAGTCTGGGAAAGAGAAGATCACTATGCTGTCCCTTCTCTGCTGTCCTGTGCACCTCTTGGTTCAGACAGGAGGTTTCTGAAGGCCCATTTTAGGTGTCAGCTGCTTGTAACACCTCTTGGTAACTAGTCGAAATAGAAATATGCACACTTTAAAGTCGCTGGTTAAACCACTGTTGAAACTTGTAACAACAAAAAAAGCTTCTTTGCGGTATTACAAGCCAAATTTAGCTAGATCTGCCATGTGTAATACCGATCTGCAAATGATCAGGTAGTTACAGATTTAGCCACTTGCCTTAAACTTGTTGTTCGTTCACAGTGCTAGTTCTGCTGACACTCAGAATGACAAAAGGTCTTTTGGCTTTCTGGCTGACTTTTTTTGTTTTCTTTTTTAATATCAAAATGAACTTCACTGAGGTTAAAGGAGATGAGGGAGGCCTCTAGCACTTTAAGCTGCTAGACTTAGGTTGGTCGATTATAGCCCAAACCAGTTACTGCTATTTAAATCCACAGTCTGGTACATGATAAAACATGCCTTTTCCTTGTATTTATAAATATCTTTTACTCAGAGGGGTTTTCTATTAAAAAATGCATGGGATTACATTACATTACAGATACAGTATAACCTGGAAAGTGCAAAAGATCCTAATAGACTTGCTATCCTGATGGACTGCAATGCGTGACATAGTATTATAGTCCGTGATATGAGAACATTGTCATCTGGGTCTACGATCAGATGACTGGGGGGGAAATTCCTAGTGGTGAGGTATATTCAGTGACATTTTCTACCATCTGAGCAAACTGAGACCGACAGCTTAATCCAAAGTTATCATCAGATTTGTCAGCTTATTCTACCTGCCTTAGTGCATTAATGGTGCTAAATGAGCGGTGCTTAAACATGAGCACTTTGAGTATTTTTCATCGATTTCAGTGGTACAGTCATGTGCCAGTACCATAGTGAATCATGGCCACTGTGAGCCTCTATCACTAGAAGTAATATTTGACCACCAACCTGTGCTACTCTAGCAGCCTGCTGCTGCCCAGGAGGGCAGCTCCCTCCCTGCTGCCTCCTTGCTGGATGCCTGGTCCCACCTCTTCTTCTCTGCTATGCTAGGTCTTTTGCTGGCCCTGTTCGGTTTGACACACATGCCCCTAAAAAAAACCCAAACAAACAATAAAAAAAATCCCGGAATACCTCACTACTTGCTGCTAATCGTCACATTCATTTTCTCTTGGCTGGTGAGTTGAACTGATGCAGTAAAGGGGTCTGATGAACGCGAGCTGGCGTGAGGAAGGGTACAGCAAGCCCTTAGATCGCCCAGCCCAGCAAGCTGTGGGGTAGTGCTGTCAAACATGTTTGCTGGCTCTGCCAAAGACCCAGTCAGTTGATGGGAAAGCACCAAATGTGGGCGTACGTGGCTTTCCTGTGTTGTGTCTGGTAAGGCAGTGACCTGCTCTGTGTGTCCAGGACTTGTGTGAGAGAGCCAACTGTTTAAATTCAGAGATGCTCAAAATTCCTGAGTAGAGCCATACATCTTGCTAGGCTTGTATCAGCTACAGAGCAATAAGAGAAGAATGATGCACATTTCCCTCTCTTTCTTTCCAGTTACTGGCCCAGGACATCCGACACGAAAGGAATGTGATTTTGCAGTGTGTTCGATACCTCATCCGAAATAACGTGTTTGGACTTAATTTTAAAACAGAACCACAAGCTGAAACAGAGACTGAACAGTCCTCTACAACTACAGCAGAGTCTTTGACGGACAAACTCAATGAATCTAATTGTTCTTGTAGCTCTGACCTTCAGTTAGCAGGAGGAGAAGATGATGTGTTATTAATAGCCCAGGGTGAGAAAGCACCCATGGATCAGACTTCACAGATGGCTCACTTGGCAGACGAGGACATGTGGGAAACCCCGTCAATTCAGTGTGAAGAAGCACTGTAGAGGATCTCTGTTGTGGACAATAAAGCAAAGGCTCACATTTTTCTACCTGATAGATGCTTTTTGAAAGACATCATATAACATAATCATTAAAGTACATACCGAGAGCTGTTAAAAACAATTTTCTGATCTGTTCTGCCTGAGGTGTCCATTTCCTTGTGAAAACAGCATCCACCTTGAGTAATTGTGTTTCCCCATGGCAGAAAGGGAGCAGTGGCACAGAGCATGACCTTCCCTAGAGTAGGTGTGGATCCCCACTTTCAAGCTTTAGAGCTCTGGATGTTTTACCTCGTTGAGAAATGTGTGTCAGTCTGTCACCAGAGGCAAGTAGTGTGGTAGGATGGATCTTCCTCATGTGAAATCGTGGTCTGGTGTGTCTGGGACTATCTGAGTGTCCAGAAGTATTTCAGTGTACTTTTGAAATGGTAATTCGGTGCACATTTTTTTCCCCAGTTGTCATTGATATAATATATCCAATATAAACGTAATATATCCAGTATGAAATGAAGACATGAAATGGAAGATATAACTGACCTGGCTCTAAAAGTACTGCTTGCACCAGGAGTCTCCTCTCTGAACTAATTAGTTAATTGAGCAGAGAAATGGAAATGAGGGTGTAGACTGATGCAAGAAGTCTTTTTTTAAAAAGGAAATAAATAAAGATACAATAGCTGCTGGCTGTTGGTGTCAGTGCTAGGTTGCTCGTTGACCTCAGGTACCCAGTGTTACACCTTAGGCCTTAAACTGCTGTTATAGTCCTTGCCTGACAAATCTAACATTTGAAGCAAACTCTCAGTATTAAGAATATTATCAAAGCTTAGAAAGAGTTACTGATTTCTCCCTTTTTAATAGGCATTGGGGATTTATTAGTTGGCCTTCTGGAAGAGTGTTTTCCTTGGTACATTGTTACAATGCTCCTATAGCATCCAGCAATTTTTTTTTTTCATAGATTTGTGTGTACATCCATAGTGTTGTGAGCACTAAAAAAGCATCAGCCAAGGTTTAGAAACAAGTTTAGTCTTTTGATTACATTGTGCATTTGTTTGTCAGAATCCTCCTTCTCAAGGGCAGGTCTTAGTTTGTCACATTGGCACTGAAAACATGCCATGAAAATAATCTGTTATCAAAACCTCCACTTCAGAATCTGCTCTTTGTCTTTTAGTCATGGTTAAATGTTGGAGTTAAACCTCAGGGACTGATTTTATTTTTTTGTTCTTTGGTAGAAGTCTAGCCTTGCATTCCACCATCTAAAATACAGACACTCACATGGGGTTTTTTTTGTTGCCTAATAACTGTATTTTCTTTCCTCTAGTTCCTTAACTTGTGGCATACATCTCATTTGTGATGCATAGAAAACAAGAAATAATTGAAAAATCTGTCCCACTGCTCCACTATTTATAGCTACGACTGCATACTGTGTTTGTAATGCACTGTCTAAATTTATGGAATTATATAAATATCAACACCCTTGTAAAAGTTGTATGTCTCAAGAATATATGTGCAGAATAGAAGCAGTGATCATAAACATTTATATTTCTAAGGCAGATGATTCATTCTTCCCATGATGATCCCACGAGCTATCTCAATCTCACTGACTTGCTTGTGGCTCTTACAGTTTTACTGCGATGAAAATACTGGCAAAGGACTCTGAGCCATGGAGATCTGGCACTTGGGCAGAACCTGATTTCAGAGTGGAGTGGTACCAGTGCTGTTGAAAGCATGGGTAACAGTTGCAGGAAAAGAAATGGATGTCTTAGGATTCCTACTAAATTGCACTTTAAACAACCCTTAACATGCTTCTATCCCTATCAAGTTGATGGCAGAGCTTTCTTTGACTGTACACTCTGATATTGCGTTTAAAACCAAAACCAAACTGTTAATTTGAATTCTTTATACTGTTGTCATTATGGACTTAAGAATATTAAACTTTCACATAAAACCAGAAACATTGTCAGAAGAAAATCTTTTTAAAGTCTATTTCATGTAGATAAGAACAGGTAGGTTACTTTTGAGGGAGATCTGTACGTGGCATAAATCAGAACTTTTAACCTAGGACTTGTTGCATACATGCAGAATTGCTATTGTTGTTCTTGTAGCGAACCATTTCTGCAAACTCATGTAGCAGACCCGTGGAGACGTACACTGCAGGGATGTTAAACCCTGAATTGCGGTCTTGGTCAACAAGTGGGAAGTCTCTGTCCTTTCCTCTCGCCTACTTTTCTTTTCCTGTTCTTCCAGGCCGTGTTCTGACTTCACGTACCCCTTCCTGCTGTTCAAGAATGTGCTTTCTTAATACCTTGGATTCAGTCTTTGGATAGGAAAGCTGCCATAATGACCTTTTCTGGTACTGTCAAATGCTGCAGGCTTCTCCATTCCCCGCAACTTTCCTGTTCTGGATTAAGAGGGGCAGTGGATTTTGTTTACTCCTTTCTAATAAGGTGCCTCTCTGTGTCTGTGTGAGAAGAACCTGTTGCTTCTGACATGCTGCAGGAGCCAATGTCTTGACTAAGCTTTGTGTAGCTTTTAACTTTCTCATTGTTTTGGTGTGGGGTGGTGGTTTTGTGCTGAATTTTTTTTTTTTAAGTTTTTGTGCAGTATTATTAGGAAAAAAATCCCTACTTCTCAGGCTTTGTGACTCACTTTAGATAAAAATATTCCAGTGACAGCCTTCACACTTCTGAAATTTTATTTTTATCTTTCTTCTTTTATAACTTAGCTACTGAAAATGTAATTGTGGGTGTCTAGTTTAAATTCAATACCCTTAAGCTTTGGTGATTTTTTTTTGTTTGTTTTAAATCCATCTCACCTACTGAGCTAGAACAGTTGAGAGAGGGAGAAGAAAAAAAAAAAAAAAAAAAGACTACTCAGTTGTGGTCGTGCAGCTTAGGCAATCTAGGCTTTGCTGTGAACAAAATCACTTATGCTACAGCACAGCTGCTCCTGAGATGAGAGTAAGGGAAACAAGTGGTGTGCATTTCTAATCTGTATGATTTCTTAGTCAGTGAGGGCTTTTGCAACTGATTTTACATGTTGATGTTGCAATCCTTGCCTTGAGAGCACAGGAGATGGGGTGGTTTGATTAGCTCTGCTCCAAAGGGAGCTGCTGTCCCTGCTGTCAGCGCTCTCATCCCCTGTGTCGGCTCCTTACACCTGGGTGTCCCTCTGCTTCCCCTTGTTCCTGTGACCTCTAACTGAAGTCATGCAATGCAGTCATTCACGAATAACGGTCATACCATCCTAGCAGGTCTTAGTTGTTTAAAAAGTATTGAGGAACAAATACAAACTCTTTGGGCATGTGGTTCTGTCAAAGGCAGAAGTCTAGGCTGGAATACTGCATTCCCCAAGCTATCTAGAAGTGGCAATCTGGCATACTGTGGGCCGATGTCATCGTGAGGCTACTCTTGAATGCCTTCAAAAGCACAAGACAATTGGAGAAAGTTCCTGAGGACTGGAAGCCAAGCAAGTATCGGTTCAGGAGGATCTGGGGACCTACAGGCTCTTCAGCTTCACCTTGTCCCCAGGGAAGGTGGTGGAACAGATGAGCCTGGAAACCATTTCCAGACATAGTAAGGACAAGGTGGTGTTTGGGTTTAGTCAGCACGGATTTACAAAGGAAAAATGCTTGATCAACTGGATGGTCTTCTACAGTGAGATGACTTACTTGGTGGCTGAGGGGAGGGCAGTGGATGTTGCTTATTGTAGCTTTAGCAAGGCTTTTGACACTGTCTCCTGTAAAACCCTCATTGGTGAAGGATGGGCTAGGGAGGTGGGTGATGAGGCAGATTAAACACTAGCTGAAGTGCCAGGCTCAAAGGGTTGTGATCAGTCACTGGTAGGTTGAGGCAGGTGGTCCTTTCTCTATGTTCAGCACGGATGAGGTACATCTGGAGTGCTGGGTCCAGTGCTGGGCTCCCCAGTACAGGAGAGACATGGACATACTGGAGCAAAGGTAGTGCAGGGCCACAAGGATGATGATGGGACTGGAGCATCTTTGATATGGGGAGAGGCCAAGAAAGCCTGGAGAAAAGAAGGCTCAGGGGGATATTATCCATGTGGATAGATACCTGATGGGGGAAGTAAAGAAGATGTAGCCAGGTTTTTCTCAGTGGTGTCCAGGGGCAGGACTTGAGGCAAAGGACACTAGCCAAAATACATTTCTTTTAAATGTAGGAAGAAAGGTTTTTACTGTGAGAGGAATCAAATGCTGGCACAGGTTGTCCAGAGAGGTTGTGGCATCACTATTCTTGGGGATATTCAGACCCTGACAGGACACAGCTGTGAGCATTCTGCTGTGGCTGACCCCGCTGTGAGCGAGTGTTGGAGTGGATGAGCTCCAGAGGTACCCACCAGCCTCGGCAGCGCTGGGACTCCGTGGCCTGAAGTGGATGCGTTGCTCAAAATGACTTCTTGCTGTAAGACACCTGCTTTGGAAGCTCTGCCCCTACTGAAATGACAGAGCAGGCAAAACCCGCAGGCTGCCCGGCCCGCACAAGGCTGACAGGTTGCTTCAAGGATTGAAGAGAAGGTCCAAACTCAGCATCCAAGACAATGAACATGACTCCTACATTTGTCCCTAGGGTTTGCCTTTGTGCAACCTTGGACTTCAGCTCCGTGCATCAATTTGCAGAGAGAGATGCTAAATCCAATCCTTTAACTCTCCTTGTGATGCAATTTGAGACGGATGAATGAAAAATGCTGCATTAAGTGTTGGGTTTTGCTGTTACTTGGTGAGTTGGAAGAGAGTTGTGTCGGACTGGCTATTCACTGCTGCAGCCTGGGAGTGCTCAGTACCTGGAACTCCCACTCTCCCTACCTTTTGTTACCTTTCTGCCTTATGTTGTGTGAGTCTCTTCCTAAATTGTCCTCCAATTTCTAAATATACCCTTCAGGTCACGGCTCTTGGTAAGGCAGTTTTCTTGGCATGGTATAATTTTTCTATCTTTTCTTTATTGTATATGTATAGGAAGCTGTATAGACTCTGTATGGGCATGGGCTCTTGCGTA